GTTTGTAAATTTATAGCTTTCATAATTGACAAGTTTTAGTGATGCTATGCCATGAATTTTCAAGTAATTATGAAAAAGTTAAAAATTGCAATAATGGAATTTTAATGATATCCTTCCACTTGAGACTGTGCATTCTAGTTTTTGTCAAACTATAGAAATGATTATGTGGAGGTACATAGGGATCCATGGGTATGAGCAAAGTTTCAAACCTTTACTTTAAAATGGGTATGCAAAGATGAGTCAACTCCATTTTTATTTGAGATGCCCTTTATTTGAGATTATGGTTTTGTGGTATTTGTCCTGAGCATGTCTTTCTTCTTAAAAAGAAATCATGTCTCATATTGAAAAAGAAACTGAATGTTTTATTTGAGAAAGAGCGTGAGCTGAGCAAATGAAGTTGACTCTTTTAAACCTAAAACACAACTTTTGCAGCGGGATGGAGTTATAACTAAGGTGCTGAAATGCAGCTGATCTACCAGCATAAATATCTTCTGACTTGTTCCTATGCAACTCAGTTGAGCTTTACATACCAGCAAAATATTTGAAGAGCTATCATGTATAAACCTCAAGCTATGGATTATTAGCAGAATAATATGAAAAAAATTCTGTAGGAGCATATTCAAATACAAATTACATAATGAATAGTAGGATGTGAAGAAAGAATAAGAAATCGATGGGCTGAGCTTTCTGAATTGGGGAGCAGATGCTTTGAGCCTGAGCAGAATCGTGGCACACCCTGTTCGGCGGGTGTGGACAGACCATGCCTTCAGGAAAGGCCACCAGCTGGTTTCTCCCTGCATACTGGTGGGAGGCGAATGCCCCCAAGGCACGAATCACCAAGTAAGAAACTTCCAAAATGGAAATTTTCCAAAGGTGGTGAGTCACAACAAATCATAGTGCTCTTTGTAGTAAAATGTTTAATTAAGCATGTTAAGTTATTTTCTGTTGACGTTTACAATCAAAGGAAAATAGTAACATTCTATACTGTTCACTGCAACATAAGGACCATGGCACACAGGACTGTAGCCTCATCATGCAGTCGGAGCCTCTCTGGCACATGGGAAGCTGACGGCCGGAGCTCAGGACGTCGCCAGGGAGGGCGGCTCAAAGTGTCCTCACGCACGGAGGTGTGGGCAGGTTCTGCACCATCGTGTCTCACAGACTTTCAGTTTGACGTTTCACATGAGCTATCTTTTTGCTCAAAGAAAGGAAGTCACATTTGTAAATGACAGCCATTTGTTCTGACTAGATCTGTAACTTTTTCTAAGTAAATATGGCATGTGATGGTATCTTAGGATGTACTTCTGTGTGACAATTTTGTAAAAATTTGTTGTGCAATTTTATTTCAAAATATACATTCAAACTTAAAATTACCCACACGTTTGAGTTTTCGTTGTTGTTGTTGTTGTTGATGTTGCACTTAACTAAGAGCCGAATTTGGAAGCGCCAAAGAGGAGGTACATGAGCCCTAATCTCATATTTTGAGGTGGAGGCAAGTGATATATATAGAGAAAACAGGCCTCTTAGGCCTCCAAGGCCCTCGCAGAAGGTCCTGTTCCTAAAACAACCACCAGGAAGGATACTAGGTTTGCGTAGACCTCAGTCCCTACATACAACGATATTTTTAAGTTTGAAGCATTTTCCACCATGTAAATTTTAAATAGAGCTAGTGGGAAAACCAACCTGGGGAGAACATGCTGCAAACCACAGGTGTTCATGGGTGGCTGCCTCTGGGAGTGGGATTGCGGCGGGAATTGGCTTTCTTGGTGCTTTATTGTATAAGAAAGTAGGACTGTGGGGGGGTTAAATCTCTCCCGATATTTCTATCATGAACATATATTGCTTTTAAAATCAGAAACAGAATAAAATTGTCCTAACTAGGAAAAGGGGATTCCTGTTTCTGAGTAGTAGATTGGCATGAACGAGCTCCTTATGTCCCTATTAAAGCTGTGGTTCTATAATATGATGAGGAAAATCTGGCTAATTCTAGTCTCCCTGCTGTACAAAGAGGTCTCAGATACTAAAAAGAAGAAGACCAACAACCCAGTAGAGAAACACCGTGGGCACGAACAGACAGTTCACAGCAAAAGAAAGCCCTAATGTCCCTTAAACTGGATAAAGAGCTTTTAATCTCTATCATAATAAGAGAAATGCAAATTAAACTAAGGTATCGTGTCATCAGATTGGCAAAAATCCTGAAGTTTGATAACATTGTGTTGGCAGGACTGGGGAAATGCAAGCTCTCCCTTGGTGGGAGTGTGACATGGTAAACTTCCCTGTGGAGAGAAGCCTGACAGAACCAATTTATGTGATCTTTGAAGCAGCAGTCTTATTTCTTGGAATCCAGCCTACCCAGACACCTGTATGTGTACAAAATTATATCCCAGCTTTTCACTGCAACTTTTTTTTTTTTTTCCTGG